ATATTATAACCATTTTTAATATCCGAGACACACGACGCAAACAAGATCGCTAAAAATGATGTTATTAATTATACGGCTCAAGTCGCCGGAAGACCATAACATCTCAAATACGTATAGCATCGTCTAAATTGCTTTGCAAAATTTCTTGCTAGTTCGCTTTTGCACGAATTTTTAAAAGATGACCCTTCTAGACTGATATTCATACTATCACATTTTACAGCATTTGAAACTTTTGGATACATATCCAGCATGAGCAACTCATTAGAACACAAGCATTCTTCACCGACATGAAAAGAGATGTGAAATATTAAACGTAAACAATAATACACGTCCTCTGGCACGTGTTAGACATTTAATAATCTCAGGGGAAAACCGTACGTACGCTGTATTCTTAGTTCTTTAACACATGAGCAAAAATATCATTTTGCCCGTGTAAGTCAATCAATACGACATAAATTACAAACACAAACTGCATGCACTATGTACAGTATTGTATATATCATTATCATGTATGATTTAATTTAAGCCTTCCTTATTAACTCGCAAATTCAAACCTATGCATGCTATAAAAACATTTTATCTTTGTGAAAAAGCGACTTTTTGCATGTATTGCAAAAATATAGCGCATAAATAAACAAGGAAATTGCCTTGTTCCTATTCCTCTGCACTATATTAAATGCCTTGCCCTGTGGGGGCGGAACAGTTAGTTGGCAGAACTCAATTTGCCCGATTTTTGCATTTTGCTCGGCCACTCAAATTCCATGCTAAACTTTAGAAATATTCGAAAAGCTAAAAATGTTTCGCCACATTGCCCTATAATATTCTCTTGCATTTTTTAGTATTATCTTCCATATTTGTTGTTTTGTTAACTTATAATTATTTCCCAAATTCTTCCCAACTTACGTTCAACATTTGCCCGACTTACGTGTATGCCATTAAAAGTTCAATATCTTACTCCTCTAAAGCGTTAACCTGACCGAGTCAGGCCCTTATATTTTTACTGTGGTTTTCATTCGCCAGGATTGATTGGCGGCGGCGAATGAAAGGAGGGCCTGGTAGAATTATTTACCGCGCCGCATGTAAAAAGCCAGATTCTGGCTTTTTCGTCTGATTGGCCGATTAGACAAAAGATTTTTATCTGTCACTTGATTGGTTGGTGCTATTTAGATTACATAACTATTGTTGTTGATATAGTTTATAATGATGACAACTATAATTAGATTCTCCTGCGACATTCTGATTGGATACTGAATATAAACTTTGCTCTGGGTGGAAAGCGATCGGGTTAAGGTTTGTGTCAGGCTCTATTTTATCTCAGGTTACTAAAGTGTAAAATTACGAATACCAAAATTGTTGTATTCGCGGAAGGATAAAATTAACACAACCAGGCCGTGCGTGAAATCACGGAGAGTTCAACTTTCGCGAGTTATTTTTCGCGGTTTCGTGATGTGGAAAAAAGTTAACAGCTTGGAATTACTTTTGAATACATTATTCAGAATGGTCATCAATCAAATTTTTAAGTTTTTCATTATAAAGGTAAAAATAAGGTTTTAAACGAGCTTTGCGATCTATCCGACCGCTGACCACCCCCTTTGTCAGAAAAAGCAGTGATCTTTTACAAGCTACCATGAACGAACGGAACGGAGTAATGTTTTCATTTTCCATCACGTACTAAGGAATATGAGAAGAAAAAACTGTCTTTCAAAAAAATTGAATATCCATGCATCTGTGGTTAACCGGCCAAAGCAGTTTGTTTACAAACTAGTCGTTCCAGCTCCAGATTGAAATTGTATCTGGAGCTGCCTCAAGATTCGCCTATCTGGAGCTGCCAATCTGAAGCCGTCTGGCTCGTCATCGGTAATGCTTTCCTTTCCCCGGGTGTAAATAGCCAAGCGGAATTAGTGCACTCTCCACGGGCTGCGTCCTACGCGCCCTGCTTGGGGAAAATCGGTATTAAAATTGGGTACACCCTATATGGGCACCCTTATTGCTGTTCGAGCTATAATTGTTTGACTGATCTGCATGCATGTGCATGACACCGTTATTAAAATAGCTGTAAAATTAACTTACGTCAGCCAATCAATGGCGAATAGTAATCCTATATCTGCTGCTGGAATTCCAATGACTTGCAAAACAATCGCCTGTACAGCAATAGTTGTAGACCCAGGGAAAGGCGGGGCAGCAAGTGTCGCTAGTGTTGTTGATAAACTAATAAAATATAATATAAATTATATATTTTCTGGTCAAGCCAGTGCAATTACTCTTACTGACAAATTTAGACTGTATACAGTATTATAAACATCATGGGGGTAAAATTCACGCAAAAATGGGATACAATTCAAAATTTGTTCCTTGTTTTATGTCCCTCAGTTTGCTTTGTGATAAAATTGTTAATGAAATCCAGATGAAATGGCAACCAAAATATTGTTATTCTTAATAACCATGCAGGATGTTTTCGAGATTAGTACATAAGAATGTATACGTCATTTTACATTACTTTATGATGATCATTGAAGTCATTAATTTACAGTGCATTTTTTAAAGATTCTTCAGTGGTGGGGCAAAACAGCCAAAGGGCCCATTTTCCTTGCCCTCCCCCAGGATAGTATGCGATCGCTGAAAGTGTGAGCCGAGTGCCGCAGGCATGAGTTAGCCCCACCGCTTTTGCATAATAAAATTGTTAATGAAATCCAAATAATTCTTTGTTTGCAATGACGTAATTTTGAGATTTTAATTGACAAGCAGGTACAACAAAAAACGGCTAATTTAATGCATTTATCGAGTTTAGAGACAGTTTAAAACTCAAAAGATGAATTACCAGTTTTTCATGCTGCAACCATTGTGATAGGGGAAAAATAGCCCACAAGTTGTTTGATTGCCCGTCATTTGGATGAAAAGTCACATGATTGCAAAACATTTACCTAATAATGATCATTGAAGTCAAATTTAATAAACTAGGATGAAATGTTTGGACAATAAACACGGCAGAAATAGCCATAGCCATTCCTGTGCCTGGAGCGTTCAATACTGTTCCAATTGGCAGCATAAATTGAGCTAGACGATTATCGACCACTTCGTTTTCTTTCAAGCAAGATAAAGTGAGAGGTATGATCGCACCACTGAAATAAATTATATAAGAAGAATATATTGTTAATGAATAATGTTAATGAATTTTATCGGATATATATATATGGTCGTTTTTTGTCACCGATATCACTTTTTGTCCCGCTAATTTAATAATTGTAGCATTGAGGCAATGATTAATACATTTTAGTATAATTACATAGGTGATTATTGAAAATTCTCCACGCTGATTGGTTGCCGTTGAGGTGATTATTACGCGATAATCACCTAAGCGATTTTCAAAATGGCGGCCGAAGCCTTTTTGTCAATTAAATGACGAAGTCACGAAGAGATGTGTATTTTTTTATTTTTTCCATATAATCACCTATGAAATTATACTAAAACAATTATTCA